GGCCCTCCTGGTTTCTCCATTTAACATGAAGTGGAGATTCTCTGTGCTGGCTGGAGGTATGGAAGGGTCAAAGTTATGCCTCTTCTCAGTGATTATGCCTGCAAAGTGCGTCTCCAGCGTCTCTCCAAGATTTCACTATAGGAGGCTCGCTTTCTGCTTCCTCCCTCTAGCTGCCATCTTCCTGAATCGAAGATGACAATTGAACTGACACCTAAACCTGCAGAGTAGGGCTCAGCATGGTAATGCACATGTGTAATCTCAGTTCTGTGACAGGTAATGGAAGAATACTGGTCAGAGGCCCATCCAGTTAAACTTAGAACTGTCAAGGGAAGGAATTCATTTCCTTATTTGACTTCTCAGCTTGTATGTAGTATGCTTAACTCCACTGATTTGCAAACACAGGATACACAGGAACTAATCTTAGATGAAGATGTTGATTCTGAGGCAAAGTCGATCTTTGCAAAAAGTAGAACCAAGAAAATCACACTGAGAAGACTGGGGAAAGGAAAGAAAATAGGAAGAAGCATCCAGAAGCCACCAGTGACACCTCAGAAGGCTGAGCCCACCTTCCGAGTATCACCCCCTGGCCTGCCCCGCTTAACTCCCTCTTCTTTTTTTTTTTTTTTGTTGGTACTGGATTTGAACAGGGCCTCATGCTTGCTAGGCAGGTGCTCCTCAACTTGAGCCACTCTGCCAGCCCTTAAATTAATTTGAAGCTTGTTTTTAATGACTGCTTTTAAACTACTAAAAAGTAAACAAGTTTTCTTAGGGTTGAAAACTCTCAATGCAAAGAGATAACCAAATGGACAGAATTAAGAAGCATGTCATTCAATGTGTGGTAAAGAATGAGTTCAGAATCAGGAGTTATTTTACCATCTGCTCCTGTGAGGTATTATGTTAATAGTCACATGCTCTACATGGTCACTGAAAACCATAAAGTAGCACCTTTTTTCCAGCCTTATTCTAACGGAAGATGTGTGACTCCAAAATGCCAGTAAAATCAAAGTCAAAATCACCGGTTTAGAAACATATGCTTATGTGCTGTAAGAATTTGATGTTATTTTTTCTTAACACTTTTTCACACTGGCCAAATCTATCTGGTGACTTTTTCTGAAATAGCCACATAAGAGAGCTATGAAACGTGCTTCCCTTTAATGACATGATTCAGTTATGCAACTAATATGTCTGGGGTTGCTTCAGTCATGACCAATTTCCAATCAAGGCTGGATTACTAAAGTAGGAACTGAGTGGATACTGCTATTAATTTCTTAGGCCCAGCAAAGACAAGGCTGATTTTTAATTGGCTGCTCCAGATTGTCAAATTTCTCATTAGTGGTCTATGATTTCACTTGAATATCACTGAACCTTCTTGATTCCTGTATGATATGCATCTTAGGTCAATACCTGCTTCCCAGTCTTGTATCTCTAGTGCTTAGTACAATGGCTCCCATACTGGAGGCACTCACTCAATTATGTTAGCACAGATAGGCAGTGGGAAGTAGAAGCCAGAAGACCAAGGGAAAACCAGCAAATAAGCAATAGGCTTTAATGCATTCCAATAAAGCATATTCAGGGAATTTGGTTTTATCCCAGGATGCTAGTAGTTTGATATGACCTCAAGCAAGTTGAAAAAAGAAAAAGAAAAAAATGAAAAGACTCCCACAGACTGGAGAAAATACTTGCAAAAGATGTATCTGATAAACGATTGGTACGAAAACCTTAAATTCAGCAGGGCACTGCTGGCCCAGACCTATAATCCTTCCTATTAGGGAGGCAGAGATCAGGAGGATTGTGGTTTGAAGCCAGCCCAGACAAATAGTTCATGAGACCCTATCTCAAAAATACTCAACACGGAACAGGACTGGTAGAGTGGCTCAAGTGGTAGAGCACATGTCTAGAAAGTGTAAGGGCCTGAGTTCAAACCCCAATGCTGCCAACACCAAAACCAAAACCAAATCAGATCTTAGAACTCGACAATAAGAGAATGAATGACCTAATTTAAAAACTGGCAAAAAAAAAAAAAAACACCTGGAAAGACACTTAGCAAAGACCTATAGATGGCAAATAACCACAGGAAAAGATGCTAAACATCATATGTCATTAGGGAACTGCAAGTTAAAACAATGAGATGCCACCACACACATGCTAGAATAGACAAAACCCAGAACGACAATAACATCAAATGCTGCCGAGATGAGTTGTGGGAAATCTCATTTATTCCTGTGGGAATGCAAAATAGCACAATCACTTTGGATGCCAGTTAGGTGGTCTCTTACAAAACCAAACATACTCTTACCATACAACCCAGAAATCATGCTCCTCAAAATTTACTCAAATGCATTGAAAACATGTCTGCATAAAAACCTGCATACAGCATGGATTGAAACTTGGAAGTAACCAAGGTGCCCTTTAGCATCTGAATGGATAAACCAATGAATCCAAGACGATGAATTTTTTTTTCCCAGTGCTAGGGATTGCTCCCAGAGCTTGTACCTCCTAGGGAAGTATTCTCCCATTTGAGTTACAAACCCAGCCCTTTTGTTTTCATTTTGCTTTTGAGACACTGTCTCACTGTATCTTTGACTAAGTTGGCCTCAAACTTATAATTCTCCTGATTCCACCTCCTGAGAGCTAGGATTACAGATATGCACCACCACACCCACCCAGTCGAATACTATTCAGCATTAACAAGAAATGGGCTATCAAGCCATGAAAAGACATGGAGAAATATTAAATGCATATTACCAAGTGAAAAAAGTTAGTCTGAAAAAAAAGGCTACATATTGTATGACTCCAACCACATGACATTCTGGAAAAGCAAAATTATGCGAGAAATAAAATGATCAAGGAGGGATGAACAGACAGAGCACAGGGGATTTTTTAGGGCAGTGAAAATATTGCATGTTATAATGGTGGCCACATATTATACATTTGTCAAAATCCATAGAAAATAGTCTAAAAGTCAACTTTAAAAAAAAAAGCTAAGATGCTTCAAAAAGACCTGATTTTAGTGTCTACAGTTATTTTGCTTAACTACTGTTGGCCTCTAGGAACTTACAGGGAAAAAAGTGTCTTAAGTCTAGGATCATGTTTATGCTTTAGCTTTTCTTTTTTTTTGCCAGTACTGGGACATGAACTCAGGGCTTTGTGCTTGCTAGGCAGGTAGTGTACTGCTTGAGCCACTCTGCCAGCTCTTGCTTACTTTTCATTGAACTTAACCTGAAGTACACTACTTTATTTTATTTGGAGATAAGTTCAGGTAGATGGTGGAGAGAATTAAATGTGTGAGGTAGGGATGAATCATTTTTCTGTAAGCAAAAAAGTGAGTTGACTCCAAACTTAAAAGATTTGAGGGAAATGTAATTTGTCGCATTTTATTCATTGCAGTACTATCAAGGAGACTATTTGCCTTACTGAAGGTATTCACGTCAGGTTGAGCTTCAGATGCTCGGTTTCACATACTGACATTTAATAAACACCTACTATGTGCCAAGCTTTATTATTCTTAATTTTGTTTTAAATACTTTCTGCAGTTCTCACATCAACCCTGCAGGAGACACGTTTTATAATTTATATTTTTAAGTTTTTACAATTTAAGAATATTAATGTTCTAAGATTACATAACTAACGCACAGAACGGCAACATTCAAGCTAAAGTCTGCCCAGCTCCTAGACCCAATTGTTTTCCATGACACTACACTGTCAACTTACTTGGCAAAAGGCTTTAATCCATCCCTAAACATTTTCTGTAAAGCTATTGGCCATCTCCCTATTACTACTTCTTTCCTCCCTCTTATGTTTTCACTACCAGCATGTATTCGCCCATCTTCTTTGAACAGAAGTTGTCACCTGTCTCCACTCAGTTAAAGTAAGATGGCACAAGGGCTGGACACAACCCCCAGCTGGCCAGTCCAATCAATGCCAATCAATCAAAGGGTTTGTCCAGGTGTGGTCCCGTAAGACTCACTTGCAGATCAGTTGTTTCAATTGTTATAGAAGATAGTGTCTTTTTCACTAGGTTGCTGACAGCGGGGATGTAAACATGGAAATGCTGGGAGACATCTTGCTCTGGTAAGAAGCCAACACAGAGGAAGCCAGAGACCCAAAGAGCAAGTACCAATAAGACTGTTCACATCCGAACCTGTCATTTTATGTTACATGAATTATAAATTTATTGGTGGAGTTGAGTAGGCATAAGCAAGGATGCGGTGGGTTTCCTGCCTTTTGTGCTATTTGTTTAAAAATGTACAGTGCAGCAATATGCAATATGGCTGCTTTGTAAAAGAGTTTGGCAGTTCCTCAAAGTACTAAACACAAACATGAGTTATAATATGACTGCAGTTCTACTCACAGGAGGTGAAACCAAACATCCACACAAAATCTCACACATAACTGTCACAGAAGCATCATTCATAATAGCTAAGAAGTACAAACAAACACCCAAATTTCCATCAACTGACAGATGGATAAATAAGATGTGGTAACTCAACACAATGGATTATTATTACTTGGCAATAATAATAAGTGAAGTACTCCAACATGATACAACATGGATAAATCTTTAAAACATCAGAAGAAGCCAATCATAAAAGACTACATGTTATATTATCCTATTTATATAAAATGTTAAGAATAGGCAAATCCATAGAGATAGAAGTAGATTAATGGTTGCCAAGGGCTGGGAGAGGATGGGGAAGAACAGATATTGTCTACAGTGTTTCTTTTGGGAATGATAAAAATATGCTAAAAATTAGATAGTGGAGATGGTTCTACAATTCTGTAAATATCCTGGAAACTACTGACTCATACTTTAAATGGGAGAATCATATGGTTTGTGAATTAAAATAAACTCACTATTATATTTATGGTTTGGCTTTTTAGATTTTAATTATATTTATAATTCAACTTTACTATTCTATTACTGAAAAAATATATTTAGAACATATGAAAGATTTTCTGCAGTTATATGATTCTCAACTGTTTTATATAAAACACTTTAAAACAATGTTCTTTAATGAAGGTTAAAAAAATCAAGGAAATATTACAAAAGAAAAGAAAACAGAAGGACAAAATTACAGTTTTGATACTTCAGGAGACATAATTAGATTTTCTATAAGTTTAAACAAATATACAGTAATATTTAAATTAATCCATTTGTTTTATACAAAAGAAATACCCTAACACAGTAGAGTCTCATAATGCCTTGGCAAACATCAATTTGATGCTTTAGGATTTTAATGTGTTAACAAATTTTCAAAGTCAGGCAAGTTTAGATATGTCTTCATACTGAATTCCTTCAACTCTGCGTCCTTTTAAAGGCCCCTACAAATTAAAAAATTGAAGAAAAATTAAAAACACATGTACTTAAAAGACAAAAAAAAATGACACTACACTTAAATGTAAATTTACTTTTTCCATGTCCCCATTAAGGTAGCTAACATCTCTACACACCTATGAGTTTAAAAAAATAACCCATGGCATTATAATTAAAAACTATGCTTTCTTCAGTGACACTGTGGCAGAGACTGGCTAGGTGTTCAGTATCTCCCCCGCTTCCTGGATAAAGGGCTACATTTCTCAGCTCTCTTGTGGGAAGGCATGGCCATAGATGGACCTTCACCCCATGAAAGCAAACAGAAGTGATGGCCCCACCATGCTGTCCTCCACACACAACCTGTCATGATCCCTATGAGCCGTCTGACATGGCGCCACTTGCTGAAGATGGTAGAGCTGTCAGCTGGAAGGATCCTGGATTCACAAGTAACCACTGTTCCCTGATTGAGAATAATCATTTTGGACTTTTAAAATTTCTACCATGTTTATGCCAGTATCTACTTGGGGGTTTCTTTTTAATAGCAATTTTTACATAAATAAAACAGATACTCAAACTTGTCAAGTTGTGATAGGGCTGGTATATATTACAGAAAATGAGTCTGACTTTAAATATATTTTCTTCCTCCTTTCATATCTAACAAAAAGGAAAAGTGTAACTCTTCAAAGGCAGATACAACCTGAGAGCACAGAGACTAAGAATACATGCTTTTGCCCCAGACTGCCCAAATTCAACTCCTACCTTCAGCAAGTGACTTTACCTCTCTGGACTTCAGTTTCCTACCCTGATGTCACCCAGTGGGGTAACAGTAATGCCTATATTATTGAGTTGTTGGAAAATATAAATGAGTTAACACATATTAAATGCTTAGAACAATACTTGGAACATCATATGTGTAAGAGCTCAATAATTTTCAATTCTTGTTATTAAATCTTTTGGTTAAAATTTGAAAGTAGATCCTCTCTGTTGCAAAACATAACATGATGATGATAATGATGATGATGACTATGACTCTAGCCGTGACAGACACTTGAACAATTTTCAACTGAGGATCAGAAATTCTCTTAAAAAGTGTATTGTTTTTGTTTTTTTATCCAGTACTGGGGTTTGAACTCAGGGCCACAAGCTTGCCAGGCAAGTGCTCTACCACTTGAACCATGTTCCCAGGCCTTTAAAGATGTTGTTTGATGTGTCATTCTTACAAAATATAGTAACGATTATATTTAAAGGAAACAAGTTCCCAGGTATAGCATGACCCAGGTTGAACTCTTCACTATTGCTTTTAAAAGTCCATGGTCAATTACACTTTTCTAACAAATCTGAATAAGAAAGGAGCTGGACAGCTGGGTTTACTAGACAAATAGCTAAAAGCTGAGGCTGTTTAGAGATAATTTACTAGCTATATAAAATCTACTCTCAGAAATCATTAAAAAAAAAAAATAGCAAGAGAAAGCTGGAGATGTAGCTCAGGGTCGAGCATGTACCTAATAGACATCAGGCCCCAGATTGAATTCCTAGCCCTGCAAAGAAAAAAGCAGGAGAAACCACTTCAAAAGTTTAAGTGACTCAAAGAAAACATGGAGATTTAAGAGATAGATAGAGAAATACACACACACACAAACAGACTTTAAAAAATTTTTTAAAGAGGGAAAGAAATAAAAATTAGTAGGTATGTTTTCTCTTCTAGAGTACATGTTGCTTTGCAGCCAACCAGAAAGGCTTTTCCTGATGTTTTGCTAACAGGTCCTATCTCAGTACAATCCTGTGAGCAATTACAGCATCAGAAAAGCAAATTAGCTGGGGCTTACAATAAAGGAAGTAAGAACTTAGACCTTTATGAAAATCATATAAGCTGTGAACCAGGATGTTGGCACAGAGGCTAATACATCTCAGTGGCAATTGGTTGCTTTGTGCTTCCATTAGATGCAAACATGAAGCATGATCTATACTGAATAGCATAAAACAAAAAAAGGACAATCAGCTAGCATCTGGGAGGCTGAGGCAAGAGGATTGCAAATCCGAAGCCAGTCTGGGCTATACAGTGAGACTCTGCCTCAAAAAAAAAAAAACAAGGAAGAATGGGATTTCTCGTCACCTTTATATTCATTGAGTCGGAAAGAAAAACTTAATGGAGTTTTTAAAAACCCTCAACTTGTACATTTAGTCAGACTATGGTTTTCAGGTTTTATACAGTTGAGCACACATTTCTTTTGTATTAAAAAATAAAATGCTTCATCAGTGGCAGAGTCACTGGAGAAAATAAGCTTAAAGATTTCTATTTTTTTGGTGGTACTGGGGTTTGAACTCAGCGACTCTTGCTCGGTAGGCAGGCGTTCTACCAAATGAACCACACCCTGAGCTCTGCTTAGATTTCTAATGGAAAGGAGGACAAACAAAAACCCCAGACTCTAAAATAAAACAAAACAAAGACAAATCCAATTAAAAAGAACAAGGGCACATTTTGAGATGTGTGCCTTATGTAATCAAACTTACAGTTTCAATGACTATAGTAGCTGAAAAAGTCTTCTCATTGATAGACTCCAGGGTACCTTCATTTCCTCTGTAGCCTCCATTTAAAACTAGAATTCTTTTTCCTACAATAGAAAAGAATATAAAACTTAATGCAAAAAAAAGTGCTGCTGCCTGTTATAACAAAATGCATTGAATGATCACAATGAAAAACAAAATCCTGTCTTACATGTTAATTGTGTAAGAACTGCATAGCATTCCATAGTGTACTTTTAAAGACGTTGACTATTCTAACATTACAATACTCATTTTTTTCACTTATTTGTTAAAAGGATAATCTTAATTTTAGATTACATGGATTATAAAGAACTCAGAGAAAATATTCAGAGTCCAGAAGTATTCAGAGAAAACTTAGCGTACTTTAATTTGTCTCTTTTTAAAACTCATAAGATGGTTTGGCATTTTTATAAAAAATTTAAACTTATGCCTGCCATATGACTGAGCCATTCAAAGTGTTTACCCAAGAGAAAAGAAATCATATATCCACACAAAGACTTGTACATAAATGTCCACAGCAGTTTTATCTTTATCTGTCAAAAACTATAAACAACCCAAATGCCAAGCAAAAGGTGACTGAACAAACTATGTGGTATAGCTATACAATGACATACTACTCAGCAAAACAAAAGAATGGGCTGCAGATACAATAACATGGGTGAATTCAAATGATTATACTGAGTGAAAGAAGCCATATTCTACTCCCCCAAAACAAGACATGCCATATGATTTATTTATATAAAATTCTAGAAAAATATGAACCAATCTACATGGACAGAAAGCAGATCTGAGCCTGCCTGAGGAGACACAGAGGCAGGAGTAGAGGGTGGGAGGGAAATGAAGGACTGTTTCAGTATTTGTCTTGTGATGGTTTCACAGGAGTATTTCCATTGTATTTTTGACATATATGTAATTTATTACACATTACTTATGTCAATAAAGTTGATAGAAAATTTTCTAATCTATAAGGAGAGTTTTAATTATTTAGAGGGAAAAAGCATAAAGGATATGATAAGTAGAAGTCTCTAAGACTGACATTATCAATACACCGAAGATTCTGAGTCAGAGGCAAACAAAGTAATCAAAGTAGTGTTTACACACACAGGTGGGTAAGTACTCAAGAATAAAGTCAGCTAAGGGAAAAATACAAGTAAATAAGTAAAATGGACTTTTATTTGCCTATCTCAGGTAGCTAAATGAATATATTAATAATATACTTAATATGGTATGACTGATTTTATCCATATATGACTGTGCTTTGCTTTAGGAGAAAAAATGTATTCCAGGAAGGGAAATTATTTATTCCATAAACCAGCCTGATCAGGAGTAAGTCAGTATTATGCCACCTAAAGTCAAATGGGAGCCAGTCATATTGGCAGTTACGTTTTTCAAAAGGAAACATTCCTATAACCATCAAATAACGTCAAAAATATGGCTTTAAGAATGGAACCTCTTGCTCGTGGAGTGGCTCAAGTGGTAGAGTGTCTGCCTAGCAAGTGTGAAGCCCTGAGTTCAAGTGGTCGGCAAACAGGTTTACCTGGTGCTGGAATTACTGTCTCTAAGTGAGTTTGGTCCAGTTTCAACTTGTCTCCAGAATCAATCATCTTTACAACAGCTGTGTATTTGTCGATCACTTCCTGTCGTGTAAAATGAACAACTTTTTAACAGATGAAGTTTTAACTAAGTTACAAGGACAAAAAAAAAAAACAAAATTAAAAAAATGAAATTCCAGTGAAAGAGTAACTCCTAGAATGTAGAATTTTCTAGATTCCAGATACAATGCCTCACCCCACAGTTCTTAATAGAAAACTTACTCAAAACTTAGTTAAGGTTTTCATTAGGAAAGAAAAAGACATTGGTGATCTTTGAATAAGAACAGAAATGGGCAACTTACACACGTACAAGGTGGGTGCTAGAATAACACTATACTTAAGAAAGGCAAAAGGCAAAAAAGAACTTGGATTTCAAAACCTTAGAGCAGCCAAAAGATAGTCTCCCAGGCAAGAAAGAAAGAAAGCCCTCGTGAGACCTCTAGGAGTATAATTATTCTGCCCCACAATTAACAAAGAGTTTGTTTAACTGATTAATTAGCAAGGTATGCACACTGAGTTTTTAAAACAGTATTGGGATTTCATACATACTATCTGCTCCAGAAAGAAATCAGACCAAGGTTAAACATAAACTAGTGAGAAAGGAAATATTTATCCAACAATTATGAATTCGGAATTTGTTTTATGTAACAATCAGAACCTTAGACACGATACTTCTGCTTAAGGATTTTCAAGGAATATCAGGATGGCTCTACTTGGTCAGCTGTCAGCATTTTTTTAAAAAATTTCATCATAACTTCATCTCTTTACCTTAACGATACCCTTTTTCTTATAATATTTCTCTCCAAGTTTTTTGGTTATAATTTTCACAATGATTTCCTAGAAAATAACATCAAAAATAAAGATGAAAGAAAAGACATAAATTTTCTTTTTTATTTTACTTCTTCCTTTTAGGCTATGTTCAACAAACTATACTAAAATGTAACTCTGGCTAAGTACAAAATCATGATGGAGTTCTAACCCTTCTTAGTAATGACAAAACATCTGCTCGCAATCTTTTACTCTTATTTCTCTTTTCATTTCACATGGTTACCAAGACGAAAAAAATACAAACAAAATGGCTGGTATCCACAGCAAAAATTTCTTGAGAGCTAGGAGTTTTATCTGTGACTCTCAACTCTTGTTTGTTCATGTTTTTCATAGACATCTTCTTTATTTCTCTCCAAAGCAACAAAAAGTGCCAGGATATTATACTGTTTAGTTTGGCTGCTGGTAAAAACTCAGATCACAAGAGTCTTAAGTGGAAATTGCAAGGAACTGAGTCTTTGAGCTTCTGCACAACATTTTTCACAAGGTTCTTTCCTCACTAGGTTGCTTTGAATTGTTCATATAAACAAGATCTCTCCAGATCAGCTCTAACTAAAAATATCTGAGCAGCTCATTTCAGATAGAGAATTCTGGGTTTATTTCACATTGATTAATTCTGAGTTTGCTGCTTTATCATTGTTTTTAATGATCTGGATTAGCTACCTAATGGCTGATAATAAACGTTAAATTGCCTGACTTACTGCTATGTTCACTGTAGTGATTCTACATTTGCCATTTCAAGTAGATGTAATAAAGAAATGGTCACAAGCACTTCTTAAAGCCAAAAACTGTATTGAAAAACTTTTAGTAAGGACTTTGTAGGGGGGGGTTACCCAATAGAAAGAGGGTTTAAGAGAAAACTTGAATGGTCATATTCTTAAGTCTCTATTCCAAAGGAAGCTAACTAAGGACAAAACATCTCTGATTGAGCCATATTTCCAGGCTAAATTTCTCAAAGGCCCTCCTGGGATTATATTCTAACCTGAAGATAATTTATTATATCATTGTACTTGCCTACACCTAATCTGTTTAAAATATGTCTTTCCTAAGTTTAAAAAACAAAGCCCTCCAAGTATGTCTCTGAGACTGCTAATTATTATAACAAACATTACCCATTTCAAAGTAAGAGAGACACTGAGTCACTAGAACACTATTGGCTGATAATTACTTTTAATATAACACTCTTAAGAGGAACTATGAAAAATGTGAATTTGCTCTAAAAAACCATTAAGAGCTGGAGGTATATCTTTGTTTGTAGGCCATGAGTTCAAACCCCAGTATCACCCAAAAAAAAAAAAAAAAAGCAATAACCAATAAGCAATTAAATAAGACCTACCTGAGTTTGTAAAATTAAAACCTGTTTTTTCTGTAAAGTACTTGTATAGGTATTTCAATAAGCTATAAATTAAAGATCAGTACTTCAGTATTTACAATTCTACCTTTTTTTTTTTTGGCGGTGCTAGGTTTGAACTCAGGGCCTCATACTTGTTAGGCAGTTGCTGTACCACTTAAGCCAGTCCATCAGCCTTATAATTCTACTTTTTAAACACATTTCTGAAAATACAACCTCTTATCTTACAGCAAAAATTAAAATTAAGCTTGTCCATCAACATATTCAGCAAAGAATGTTATTGGCTATGAATACAAAGTAACCTTCCATCACAGGTGCACCCAATAATAATTTACATATATTTGAGAAATTTGGATGTTTATGCCAAATACTAATTAAATCATTCACTAAAAGTAAATACAGAACTCGGAAGCTTTACTGAACACTTACAGGCTGTAGCCAGTAGTCTGTTCGGGCAGTTCTTTTCTTTTCCTCTTCAATCTACAGAACACACAAGATATTCATAAAATTTTCCCTTTAAAACTAATTCATTCCAAATACCATTCCACGGGCAAAATAGCACCATAAAATCTATACTTCTCTTATGACCAATGATACAATCTCTAAATTCTGATAAGTAAAAGTAAACAATATTTGTAATTAGTTTTTTGTTTGCTTGCTTGTTTTTGAGACAGCATTTTGGTATGTAGACAAGACTGCCTTGGAACTCCAAAACCACCTGCCTCTGCCTCCTGAGTGTTGGGATTACAGGCATTTATCACCACACACAGAGGTGCAATTAGCTTTTTACTTAAAAAAAGAATTGAATTAAAAAAATATGTAGCAAAGCAAGTCAGCTGGGCAGAAAACAAAAACATCCCGCACCTGGCAATGCTCCAAGGCCAGTACTAGAGCACCCTCTCCTTGCATTCCCCCATTCTCCCTTGTGACTGTCGTGAGCGGGAAATGTAGTTTTTTTCATATGGCAAAAACGTAACACATAAACCAATAAAACATGGCATGGTTAGGAAGGCAATCTGATAGCAAAAGGAGGTATGAGCAAAAGGAAAGAAAATTACCAAGTGAGATGTAAATTAAAGAGGGGCCAAAAGGAAAAGTACTACCTGGCTTTTAAGGCTGCATGTCACACCTTTTTCTTTGTCAACTGCTCAGTGTTAGCCCCAAATACCAACTCTGAATAGGATTCAACAATGTAATTCTTTAGTTGATTCTAAACCTCATTTTAAAGTCCTCCAAGGAGATTCCAAGGAGATTCCAAGATGGCAGCTAGAGGGAGGAAGCAGAAAGCGTGCCTCCTGTAGTGAAATCTTGGAGAGACGCTGGAGACACACCTTGCAGGCAAAACCACCGAAAAAAGGCAAAACTTTGACCCCTCCACACCTCCAGCCGGTGCAGAGAATCTCCACTTCATGTTAAACGGAGAAATCAGGAGGTCCCCGGGCCACCAGTTGCCCGCGCCCAAATGGCTTGGGAAGACATGGACAAAGTGAGCTTAGCGGTACTGCAGTACTCCCACAGACAACACTGGCCCAGAGCAGCATAGCCCCGTGGACAGACTGACCTCCACCCGGGGAAAAAAGAGAAACTGAGTAATAAGCAATAAGAACAATGAAGACACGCTGGAAAGAGGGTGGGGCGCACTGAGCACCGAAGATTGGGGGAAGGGAATCCTTCCCAGGACTGTAAATAAACAAGCTGGGCCTGGCTGGAGAGGTTCCGGCAGGAGCAGGGGTGCGCACCCAGCAACCATGAGCAGGAAAGCTTGTGAGAGTGGCAGAGGGAGGAAAACTCCACAGGAGGGGAGGGAAGACCCACTTCCCACATGAGCTGTAAACAAACACGCTGGCCAGCAGCAGCAGCACGCCCAGTAAATCAGGAGCAGGAAAGCTTGTAAAAGTGGCAGTGGGAGGAAACTCCACAGAAGGGGAAGACCCACCTCCCACATGAACTGTAAATAAACACACAGGCCTGAGAACACGGTGCGTAGTTGTCACCATTTCCCAGTGCTTGGAAAGGGGAAAGCTTTGCAGCGCGCTCCGCACAGGAGAACTCTGAACAAACAAAGCCTGTGGGACCAGGTGAGTGCTAAGTTCACCCCAGAGATCTGCATAAATAACACCTCCAGCAACAGCTGTTGACAGCAGCCTGCAGGCAAGCCACAGCCACAGGTAGCCATTCACAGAACTTCTCCAGACTCTTTTTTTTTCTTTTTCTTCCTACCTTTGATGAGAAAGACTGTCCTCCAGACTCCCTTTTTTTTTCTTTTTTCTTCCTACCTTTGATGAGTTTTAAACAACTGAAATACACCTGCAATGGCTGAAAAACTTACTGAAACTATATGGCAATTTGAAGCTTGGGACACTTTGTGGGTTTTTTTTGTTTTTTTCTTTTTCTTTTTTTGTGTTGGCAGTTTTAACTCTACTTTTATGCATCCCCTTTGGATGAGACACTACAGAACAACATTGAGGCACCATCTCCAGGTACTGGAGACTGAGACAGACACGCACAAATGTATAGAGACTGAAACTTCATTCCATTTGAACTTGGAAGGTTTTCTTTTTTTTTTCTATTTTTATTTTGTTTTAAGTTTAATTTTATTTATACTTTCATTTACTTATTTATTTCTATTCTTATTTTTATTCTTTTTATTTTTTATTTTCATCCTTCTGTCTTCTAAGGTCTGTTCAGCTTACTGTCAATTAGTAAACAACAACTCCCGTTTTATACCTTGAAATTTGTTTGATTCCTTATTTTGTTTTTTCCTACCTGTGCATGTTGTTTTCCCTTTCTTTTACTTCTTGCTTTCTCATCTCCTCTCACCCTTACCATTCTAAATATTACCATTTGTTATTACTACAGCCAGAAAATACTTAATTGCACACAGTACAGGGACAGTAAACAACACCAAAACAATTGACGAGGAGACTAGAAAGAAACAGGGAAACCAGTTTCCCCACAGAAAAAATTAGTACAGGAACGCAGAGGGAAATGAAGAAAACAGATAACTCAGATCCGACTCCAACAAAAATGAAGATAAACTATGCCAAAGGACCCAATGAAGCCTACAAGAATAATTTAAAAAGAAGACATACTACCAGGGTACTCAATGAGAATTTTTAGAAGTTGGTTCTTGAAAAAATAAACAAGATCGATAGACCCTGGCAAACCTGACTAAAATGAGGAGAGAAAAAACCCAAATTAGTAGAATCAGGAATGCAAAAGGGAGATAACAACAAACACCATGGAAGTCCAGGAAATCAATCAGACTACTTCGAGAACCTATATTCAAATAAATTTGAAAATCTTAAAGAAATGGACAGATTTCTAGATACATATGATCATCCAAAACTGAACCAAGAGGAAATTAATCACCTGAATAGACTATAACACAAAATGAAATTGAAGCAGCAATCAAGAGTCTCCCAAAAAGAAAAGTCCAGGACCTGATGGATTCTCTGCTGAATTCTATCAGACCTTTAAAGAAGAACTGATACCAACCTCCTTAAACTGTTCCAAAATAGAAAGGAAGGAAAACTGCCAAACCATTTTATGAAGCCAGTATTACACTTATCCCAAAACCAGGCAAAGACACCTCCAAAAAGGAGAACTATAGGCCAATCTCCTTAATGAACATTGATGCAAAAATCCTCAACAAAATAATGGCAAACCGAATTCAACAACACATCAAAAAGATTATTCACCACGACCAAGTAGGCTTCATCCCAGGGATGCAGGGGTGGTTCAACATACGAAAATCAATAAACGTAATAAACCACATTAACAGAAGCAAAGACAAAAACCACTTGATCATCTCAATAGATGCAGAAAAAGCCTTTGATAAGATCCAACACCATTTCATGATAAAAGCTCTAAGAAAACTAGGAATAGAAGGAAAGTACCTCAACATTATAAAAGCTATATATGACAAACCTACAGCCAGCATTATACTTAATGGAGAAAAACTGAAACCATTCCCTCTAAAATCAGGAACCAGACAAGGATGCCCACTATCTCCACTCCTATTCAACATAGTACTGGAATTCCTAGCCAGAGCAATTAGGCAAGAAGAAGGAATAAAAGGAATACAAATAGGTAAAGAAACTGTCAAAATATCCCTATTTGCAGATGACATGATCCTATACCTTAAAGACCCAAAAAACTCTACTCAGAAGCTTCTAGACATCATCAATAGCTATAGCAAGGTAGCAGGATATAAAATCAACATAGAAAAATCATTAGCATTTCTATACACTAACAATGAGCAAACTGAAAAAGAATGTATGAAAACAATTCCATTTACAATAGCCTCAAAAAAAATCAAATACCTAGGTGTAAACCTAACAAAAGATGTGAAGACCTCTACAAGGAAAACTATACACTTCTGAAGAAAGAGATTGAGGAAGACTATAGAAAGTGGAGAGATCTCCCATGCTCATGGATTGGTAGAATCAACATAGTAAAAATGTCTACTACCCAAAAGTAATCTACATGTTTAATGCAATTCCCATCAAAATTCCAATGACATTCATTAAAGAGATTGAAAAATCTACTGTAAATTTATATGGAAACACAAGAGGCCACGAATAGCCAAGGCAATACTCAGTCAAAAGAACAATGCAGGAGGTATCACAATACCTGACTTCAAACTATATTACAAAGCAATAACAATAAAAACAGCATGGTACTGGCACAAAAACAGACATGAAGACCAGTGGAACAGAATAGAGGACCCAGATATGAAGCCACACAACTATAACCAACTTGTCTTTGACAAAGGAGCTAAAAATATACGATGGAGAAATAGCAGCCTCTTCAACAAAAACTGCTGGGAAAACTGGTTAGCAGTCTGCAAAAAACTGAAACTAGATCCATGTATATCACCCTATACCAATATTAACTCAAAATGGATCAAGGATCTTAATATCAGACCCAAACTCTAAAGTTGATACAGGAAAGAGTAGGAAATACTCTGGAGTTAGTAGGTATAGGTAAGAACTTTCTCAATGAAACCCAGCAGCACAGCAACTAAGAGATAGCATAGTTAAATGGGACCTCATAAAACTAAAAAGCTTCTGTTCATCAAAAGAAATGGTCTCTAAACTGAAGAGAACACCCACAGAGTGGGAGAAAATATTTGCCAGCTACACATCAGACAAAGGACTGATAACCAGAATATATAGGGAACTTAAAAAACTAAATTCTCCCAAAACTGAACCAATAAAGAAATGGGCAAGTGAACTAAACAGAACTTTCTCAAAAGAAGAAATTCAAATGGCCAAAAAACACATGAAAAAATGCTCACCATCTCTAGCAATAAAGGAAATGCAAATTAAAACCACACTAAGATTCCACCTCACCCCTGTTAGAATAGCCATCATCAGCAACACCACCAACAACAGGTGTTGGCGAGGATGTGGAAAAAGGAACCCTCTTACACTGTTGGTGGGAATGTAAACTAGTACAACCACTCTGGAAAAAAATTTGGAGGCTACTTAAAAAGCTAAACATTGATCTACCATTTGATCCAGCAATACCACTCTTGGGATATACCCAAAATGTGACACAGGTTACTCCAGAGGCACCTGCACACCCATGTTTATTGCGGCACTATTCACAATAGCCAAGTTATGGAAACAGCCAAGATGCCCCACCACTGACGAATGGATTAAGAAAATGTGGTATCTATACACAATGGAATTTTATGCAGCCATGAAGAAGAACGAAATGTTATCATTTGCCGGTAAATGGATGGAATTGGAGAACATCATTCTGAGTGAGGTTAGCCTGGCCCAAAAGACCAAAAATCGTATGTTCTCCCTCATATGTGGACATTAGATCAAGGGCAAACACAACAAGGGATTGGACTTTGAGCACATGATAAAAGCGAGAGCACACAAGGGAGGGGAGGATAGGTAAGACAACTAAAAAATTAGCTAGCATTTGTTGCCCTTAACGCAGAGAAACTAAAGCAGATACCTTAAAAGCAACTGAGGCCAACAGGAAAAGGGGACCAGGAACTAGAGAAAAGGTTAGATCAAAAAGAATTAACCTAGAAGGTAACACACACGCACAGGAAATCAAAGTGTGTCAATGCCCTGTATGGCTATCCTTATCTCAACCAGCAAAAACCCTTGTTCCTTCCTATTATTGCTTATATTCTCTCTTCAACAAAATTAGAGATAAGGGCAAAATAGTTTCTGCTGGGTATTGAAGGGGTGGGGAGGAGAGACAGGGGGTGGTGTGGGTGATAAGGGAGGGTGTGGGGGCAGGAGGGAGAAATGACCCAAGTCTTGTACGCACATATGAATAATAAAACAATAAAAATAAAAAAATAAAATAAAATATTCAAAAAAAAAGTCCTCCAACTTTCAAATATGAACAAAGAACATTCTAAATTTAGTACATATTACATTTAAAGTATGAAGATCTGCTTTCCATTTTCTTTGAATTAATCTAAATTTAAAAAAATCCCTAACCTCCCTGCCTTGTCTCTAGAGTCACAGCAACTCTTTTCTTAGTGTGTCTTTTGCTAAATATTCCCTTTTTATATTAAAAACTCCCTGTTGTGGTATATACAACCTCTGTGGTCTTGTCCCTACTCAGCCGAATCTCAAATGCTGACAGCATCTGCTTATTATGCTTTTCTGCCTTAGGAAGCTTCCACAAGTCCCCCAACTCCTCACTCTTGTACCTGAGCACTTAGCTTTGCATAATTACTTATTTATTGGTTTACTTTTTTATTAAGTGACCCCCCACACACTAGAATGACAGCTTCATGACACACGAGGACTCCCTATTACATAGTCACAAAACATGGCAAGTCAATATCCATTGAATGATGGAATGTCAACACTTCATAGTGTATTCATTTTACATTTCACATCTTTCATATTGTCCTGCATAGTGTGAGTACTAGTAACAGAGAACACTAAACAGTTATCTAATATTCCTCCTATACCTTCACAAATAAAGGGATGGGAAGACTACAGAATATAATATTAAAGGGAAAAAATTTAGCTTCTTGTATCCATTTGTTCTTTCTCTTCTCCTGTCCTTTCTCTTCTCTTCCACTAATTTTATAAATTCATTGATACAGTAAAGCATTGAGTTGGGAGGGAGAAAGGAATATTTAAGAGTATATTAAGAAACTTCTTCAGGGTTGGAGATGTAGCTCAGTGGTATAGAACTTGCCTAACATGCATAAGGTCCTGGGTTCCATCCCAACATCACAAAAAAGGAAAAGAGAACCTTCTGCAGTATTTCTGTAGAATTTTGGGTAGATTTAAAGTCAAAGTATGTCCCTAAATCTAGGTAGTCATATATTTTCAATGATTCATCACATAAACTTATCATCAGGTTAGATCAAATTAAAAGAATGTCACAGCTTCCTCTTGCTAAATGGAGGTCAGTGGTGACAGAAGAGTATGTGTTAGAGGAGGCAGGACACCAAAAGAGGATCCAGATCTCAACTACCACTAAAGCCCTCTGATTCAACTCTGCTGACCTAATTGCATGGAAAGTTTTAAAGACACCCTTAGAGGCATGAAAATAAACAAATATGATGAGAGGTAGAGGGACACTCGTTCAGATGAACCAGTAACTAGGCTTCTTTTTCCCTCACTTCATATGTAATTTTTTCTAACTTTATATTAATTTAATAAATGGTGAAATTACTTAACTTTCCTTCAGTTTGAATTACAAACTTCCTCTAATTGCTAAAGCGCCTGTACATAGTCCACAAACCATACCTCCATGATTTCATCCAGTGCAGACTTCTTCTTCTTTTCTTTAGACTGAGATGAGCTCTGGGAAGACTCTTTTCGCTTCACTGATGCTACACTGCCCAGCGTCTTCAGTGCACTTGGTCCTAAAGAACTGGTGAACAGAACAGTGCTTGCTCAGACGACACACACACACACACACACACACACACAACACACACACACACACACGCCATGCTGGCATACAGAATTAACAGTGGAGACAAATGTTACAGGGGTAGGTCAGACAAAACAATGAATGAAGTTTGCACGTCCTAGGCCTATCAGCATAATGAGAAAGAACATTCACCCTGTCCTGTCTTACCTCCCTTTACCCGTCTGTTAGCTCCACCATCATCAGTATAGCAGAATGAGGGTAACAACTTAGGGTTGGGCAGATCAGGTCCTACTGCTGTTAGGACCTTTAGAAATTCACTGACTGACACCTCAGATTCTTATCCATACATGGGGATAATAATTTGACCCAACTCCTGCTTGATTGCAAGGATCATGAGATGTTTTTAGGAGTCCTGTACATCATTATCAGTTCTGGGTTTTTAAAGCACATTTGATTATGTCCACTTAAAAGTCTTTTTATTGTTCCTGACTACTTAATATTGCTAGTGCACATTTTAAATTCATTAGTGTCGATATACAATTTTTTCAGAATACCACTCTAGTCTCCATTCCCGACTCTTTTCTGAGCACCAGCCATTCTGAGCAATTTGTTATTGACTGGACCATGTCTTGTGGTCCATCATCTCTGAACATTTGCACATGCCTCAATTGAGACCTAAAATAATCTTTTATTCCATTCATTAAGATTCCTGAAGGTCCATCTTCATAGGGGAAGGACAATATACTTTTTTCTTCTGTAAAGTAGCAGTAACTATCTTTTAACTCACAGTGCCAATGGCTTACACCTGTAATCCTAGTGACTCTGTCAGGAGGATTGAGGTTTGAAACTAGCTGGGGCAAATAGTTTGCAAGAGCCTCTTTCGATAGCCAACACAAACAGGGCTGGTGGAGTGGCTCAAGGAGCAGAGTGCCTGCCTAGCAAGCATGAGTTCAAACCCCAGTACTGCCAAAAAAAAAAAAAAAAAAAAAAAAGATAGAGAAAAGTGTAGTTGGTAGAGAACACAATAGAATTGTTACTTTCCTTTATTTGAATTTTTTTCTTCCCTTAATTCTAAGAACTGAATAAATCCATGTCCTCTCACACGCTAGGCAAACATTCTATCACTGAGCTGCATCTTGGCCTAGGGAGACTTTTTTTTTTTCAATGCATTTAAAGGTAGAATTAGATTCACTAGGATATTTTTAAAGACTCACACTCAGTTTGAAGTTAACTAAAATCCTCACAATCTTTTCTATACAGAAGATTATAGTTCAAGACTCCTCTGCTCTGTCTTTATAAAAACTGTTTTCTCTTTAATAGTAAGGTCTACATTTACCTTTGTGAAACTTCACTTACTGGGTTTTTCTCATATTACTTTTTTTTTTTTTTGGCAGTACTGGGGTTTGAACTCATGACTTCACGCTTGCTTGGTAGGCGCTCTATCACTTGAGCCACTCCACCAGCCCTAAAGGTTTTTCCCATATTTCAACCCAGTGAACATATTTTTAAGTTCTGATTCTCAGATGTGTGACAACTATACATAATGTGCATTGCTTTTGAACAAATTATGTCCAAATACAGAGAAGCTTCTTGATTTGCTACTTAAACATTCTTTAGATTTAAATGTACCTTGAGTTAGAAATCCACCCAATTTAGAGGTAACTCTGATCACAAGCAACCATATTTATAAAATAGGCACTAATAACCACAGCAAAAGGAAGGTTAGGAGTAAGTAGTTAATTTGGGCTCTAGGAACGCTCACTTCCTCTGTATGTGTTCATAACCCCCATTCCTTTTTGCAGTCACTCAGAAAAGCGTGCTAGTCCATTGTTTCCTAAAGAAGTCTCTCAACTCTTGAAGAAACATTTGCTTATTCTTCTGCCTTGTGACAGCTTCAGTTTGGGATGATAAAAAAAAGTCCTGAAGATGGATGGTACACTGATAGCTGTACAAAAGTATGGATTTACTTAAGAGGATTGAACTGTACACTTAAAAATTGTTAAAATGATCCATTTAATAACTTCACTACACAGACACAACACTAAACAGAGAATTTTCTACCAAGAAACTTTTCCATCATTATTAAATGCATTATTATTATTAAATGTTCAGAACACAACAAGCAACAGGGATTAAAAAAAAAATGAGCACCCCGTTCTCTTGACAGTGGAAAAACACAGACAGGAAAGTACACCAAGAAGAGAGAATACTAGGTGCAAAGGCAAGAAACAGGGAGACCCCCCTGGCACATTCAGGAAACTCCAAAAACTTTAGCTGGAGTGCAAAGGGCAGGAATCACAAGAGTCACATAGTAGCATGCATAAACGTAAGTCACCAACACCGATACTGAGAGTCCTTAATAAGAGAATGACAGGGTAAGACCTGACGTTTAGAAAGATCTTTCTGCTTTCAATATTAAGGTTGTATCAGAGCTTAGTGAGGTTAAGATGAGGTTAAAATTAAAATAAGAAATAAATCTTAACAGATTAGAAAGAGATTAGTGTGGCTTCTGGAAGCCAGAGTGAATTCTGGTGCTTTTAACAAAGATAGGGACATCCAAAGGAAAAACATAAGTGGAAATTAAGAAACCTTTCTTCAAGTAACAGGGAAGCATAAGTAGCCTAAAATGTCCACTTTGATATCTACATCATTTAATTCATTTAAGGCTTTAGCGATACAACAGATATAAATCAACAGAAGATGTAAAATATACACCATAATCTCAGAGAAAAAATTTCAGATGAGTCAGTTGCATTTTCTATGACAATATTTACATATTAATATAGATAATTCAGACAGACTCACAGAACTTGGTCAAATAAAACTACTATATTTTTTACTAATGATATCAAGATGACATAAGGGCAAAGCAGGCTGGGTAGACCCCTCCAAATACATTCACCTCTGAAATCTACAAATGTTACCTTATTTGGAAACAATGGTTTGCAAATCGGATTAAACTAAAGATACTGAGGTGAAGAGGTTATCCCATCTGAGTGAAGCTTAAATGCAGTCACTCTTATTATTTTAAGAAAGCACAGGGGGATTTGATATGTGGAGAAGGTGATGTGGGGGCTGGGATGTAGCTCAGTGGTACAGCACTTGCCTAGCATGTGCGAGGCCCTGGCTTCGATCCTAGTACCAAAAAAGAAAAGACAAAAAAAAAAAAAAAGACCATGATGTGAAGATAGGAAAAGACACATCTGAAGATGTTGCAAAGCCAAGGAATGCTAGCAGCCACCAGGATCTGCAAGAGGCCTGGAAATGATTCTCCCCCAGAGCCTCTGAAGGGAAGACAGCCCTCCAAACACTTGGATTTTAGTGACACTGATTTCAGAATTCAGGGTTCCAGAAAGGGACATTTTTCTGTTATTTTAAGCCACCCAGTTTGTGGTAAGTTGTTACAGTAGCCACAGAAAACTAAACTAAAACAATATTCACCTATACCTAGGAATAACAAATAATGAAAGAGAACAGAGAGTGTGAAAGTTGTCAGAATCAAAATGGAGCTAGTTGTGTCAACCCTAACAGAAAATAAAACAATAAGGCCAGGAGGTTACAAAGGAACAGTTCTCACACGTTGGCCTGATAAAAATTATCGTATCACGACCACAACCTTGTGCAAAGTCCATAGCAACCTTTTATACTTCTGCTAGGACAATGCCTAGCAACTGTCCAAACTTGAACTGGTGCCACCCTGGTTACTACTCCTTGGGATCAAGGATTATTATTTTAAAATATATTAGTCAATACTTCTCATTTTTGCCTTTAATCACGTCCCCTTGTCTTAATTTCCTTGAATACTCTCATACTTCACTATGGCACATATTTTCCCATTGCAATGCTATTTTATTCCCAAATACTACTCTTCAGGAATTTATACTGTACATGATGATAAGGAATAGGTTGACAACCTAATCTCTATCTTCACAAAATCACAATATAGCAGGGAAAACAGAAAATGTACAGCCAGGCTAACATTAAACTATGGTAATGGGCTGTGATAAGAAAAGAAACTACAATACTAAAGTAATACAGAAGGAACCATTAAATGAAGAAGGAGTCACAGAGGAGCACAAATGTGTCTGTGTGAACATGACATCAAAATCAGCGTTTCCTAGCCAGACGCAGGCATGTACCTGCATCTCAGCTACTTGGAGGCTTGAGGGAGAAGGAGCTCTTGAGGCCAGGAGTTTGAGGCCAGCTTGAACAATAAAATGGGACAAAATAAAATAAAATTGTTAAAATGAGCCTTTCCTCCAAAGGCCATCTCATCACAGGGAAGTAAGAAAAAAATAGCGGCTAAAAAACAAACCATTAAAACAAACAAACAAACAACAAATACCAACCAAAACAAAGAAAACTACAAGCAGGAAGAAATGAATTACAAAACTTTAACATGCAGTCTCCAACAATTCCCAAACTTCTGAAGTTGTAAGATTCCTGTTACTGTAACTCACCTTGACTTGGAAGACACTGCTCCTGCTGAGCTACATGCTCCTTTATTCAGATTAAATGTAACTACAAGAAAAAGTTGTTATTCCATATATATCTATGTATATGAGGAAAATTATAATAAAACTTCACAGATAAGATTTCATGGTATCCACTTTTTTTGTTTTGTTTTCATTTTATGAGACAGGGTATCAATATATAGCCCACAGTGGCTTTAAATTCTTGATCCTCTTGACTCAGCCTGAGTATTGGGATTACAGGCATGAACCACCATACCTAACCCTATTCACAAATACTCTTAATCACTGAGGCTATACTGTTAGTCTACCAAGAATATAGATTCCTGTAAAAAGTCCTCAGCTAGCACCTGTAGACTTGGGCAGACTCTTATATGTCACATTGCTCTAGCAGTCAATGCTGGCTGCTTTGCCATTCTATTTTCCCCTTTTCCCTTGCTAATAGTACTCCGTCTTTGTTTATGTGTTCATACCTCGTGTCTGCAGTTCAGGGGATAAAACACCATCTACAGCTCTGGGGGAAATCCTGGTTGTCTGAACCAAATAGCACAAACTTTGTCACTGCTTTTAAGGTGGATATATGACATAGTTCTAGCCAGTGACATTTGAAAGGAAGATCACCGGGATGAGGACAGTCTTCTAAGAGATTTACTTGCTCCTAAGGGGACTTCAAAAGAGAGGCTCTCTGCCATTCTCTAGAAAATGCTAAGTCTGGGTATGATGGCTGAGGTGCTGGCAGTTTCCTTTTATGTCTACATGGCATGCAGAACCACTATGCCGCTAGGACTCTTATTATGGAAAGACATTTCCTTATTGTTTAAACTAAACAATTTCATTCAATCTTGTTACACTTGGCTGAAGGCATCACATCCAATTCATACTGTTACCTTTTCATTTTACAGGTGAGAACAATGCCGCCCTATGAATTAAATGTCTTATTCCCAGATGTGTTGCTAGCTTTTAGCCAAACCAATAGAAAAGAATCCATATTTAAAGAAAAGCAAAGAAAAAAGAAAGAAAAATGAAAACAACCTTTCTCTTCATCATTTTCTCTGCTTAGTTCCGTGAACACAGGGGCATCCTGAAAATAAAAAAATGTGAAGGTTTAGTTTACAGTGCATTTACAATCAAAGTCCAATAGGATTAAATTATGACTTGCTACCTCAGTTGCAAGGCAGTTTGAAGACAAAACTCCACATGGCACACACCCATAATCCCAGCACTTGGGAGGCTAAGGCAAAAAAAAAAGTTCATTGCATAACAAATCTTCTCCAATTAAGAGTTATTCCAAACGATAATAAAGTTGCTATTCTATACCACACTACAGAAGTTTACCTACAATTTTATTTCTATTAAAATTTGAAAAGAAAATGACAAAAACATAAGGCAATAAAATAATGAATCTTAGCTAGAGGATTACTTTTAAAAATAAGTCTTTCTATATTATAAGACAATTTAGCATAATGATTAAGCACCTTAAACTAAACAAAGAAAACTGTGCATCAAATCTACTTCTGAGGACTCAGGGTATGGCTCAAGAAATAGAGCATCTGCCTAACAAGCACAAGGCCCTGAGTTCAAACCCCAGTACTACCAAAAAAAAAAAAAAAAACACTTCTGTAACTTTTTAGTTCTCTTATCTCTGTCACTCCATCATCTTCGTTAAGCCACAGTTACTCTATCTTCAAGAGCCCTTTCAAAGGGATAAAGGTGTACAAAACATTTAGCACAGTATGGGCCATAGTAAGTGTCCAATAAATATTAATAGTTGATTCAACAAATTAAAAAAAAGATGCTCTTGAACTCTAACTAAAATATTTATTCTTTTCTCAAGTAATGCCTAATGCCAAGGCTAAACAACAAAATCTCACGTATAAGATAATTGATGTATTTAAACACAGAATGAGCACGTGCTGATCAGTATGCTCCCACCTTTTAGGGAAAAACAGTACTAGTATCTGAAAAGTGCAAAGTAAATTGAAGGTTTTAGCAGTGTTAAACTACAATGCTACCAAATGCTAGCAGCATGGCTCAAGAGGCAAAGCACCTTCCCAACAAGCGTGAGGCCCTGAGTTCAACCTCCCAGTGCTGCCAAAACAAAACGAAAATGCTGCCAAACAATAATGTTACTCCAAATGGCAAGCTATTTTCCTAATTTGACAGTAATTAAGAGGTGATGTGATCCTTTTTAATTTCTACAATAGGCGATTATAATATTTCCTCTACAACAGAGATTTAAATTTTACAAGTATAAGAGAAATTCAAGACTAAGGAGCTTCCAATCTTAAGCAGGAGTTTGAATTTCATAATCCAGCAGTTTTTAACCTAAAGTTTTTTCCTAAGTTTAACATAAGAAACTCCTAAAGATTACATGAACATGTACATATATATATTGATTTGACTATTATACACACACACACACTCTCTCTCTCTCTCTCTCTTTCTTTCTCTGTCTCTGTCTCTCCCTGTCTCTCTCTCATCAAGAAGTACAATTAGGACTGGAGGTATGGCTCAAGCAGTAGAGTGCCTGCTTTGTAAGTGCTAATGCAATAACTGGTACAAAAGTTGATTCAAGGGTTGCCAATGTAGTTCAGTGGTGGAGGGCTTACCTAAAATTGAAAACAAGACAAATGTTCCTCAGAAGAATGGATAAAAAAAATTGTGTTATAATCAGAAAATGGGCTATGCTACATCAATTTGAAAAAAGTGACAAATGTTTGTAAAGACATTTATCCTGAGTACACAACGTGTACATGTGTTAAACATCACACAGGACTCCATTATTATGTGCAACTTTTGTTTTTATGTATCAGTTAAAAAACTAGGCCAGGTATGTTAGTGTATACCTATAATACCAGCACTCAGGAGGCTGAGGCTGGAAGATCAAGAGTCTGAGGTCAGTAGGCTACATAGTGAGAGTCTGTCTCAAAAAAAAATTAATTAAAAAAAGTGTAAATTGGTAGTAAATTGCAAAACATTATGTTTGATTTTAAAAAGTCAGACACAATACAGTATGTTCCATTTATCTGAAGTTCAAGATAGATTAATCTAACCAATCTGAATAGTGGTTACTTCTGAGGGATGGGGTATCAATTGGAAATGGGCCTGAGGAATCCTTCTGGAATATCAGAAATACTCTAGACCTTTATATGGGTGGTGGAGCTCGCTCTCTCTCTCTCTCTCTCTTTCCAAACACATGTATGTAGAAGTTCACTGAACGTAACATTAGATTCTTTTTTAATTTTCATTATTCATATGTGCATACAGTGATTGGGTCATTACTCCCTCTTCCCCCTACCCCCTCCTTTCCTTCCACCCCCACCTTCTCACCCCCACCCCCTTGCTTCCAACCTTCCAACAGATACTGTTTTGCCCTTATCTCTAATTTTGTTGAAGAGAGAGTATAAACATGAATAAGGAGGACCAGGGGTTTTTGCTAGTTGAGGTGAGGATAGCTATATAGGGAGATTCCTAGTTTTGCTTCCAGTAACATTAGATCAACACAAACTATGCTTTATTGCATGTACATTAGTGAGAGCTCAGTTTTTTGTTAGCATAAATTAATTATACACAAGAGTTTCATTGCGATATTTCCATATATGCATATAATATACTTTGATCAAATTCACCTCCTCTATTAAAAAAAATTTTTTTTGGTGATATTGGGGTTTGAATTCAGGAACTTGTACTTTCTAGGCAGGCACTCTACCACTTAAGCTACATCCCTAGCCCACAATATTTTAAAAGTATTTTAAAAATATTAAATGGCTAACAATTTCACATACATACCAGGCTGTATTTCCCTGCTCCCATACAGCTGTTAGAATTGAAGCCCTATAAGGAGCTTTTTTTTTTTTTTTCATCTTTTATTCATAGTGTATCCCAGTACCTACAAGAGTTCTGGCATGCAAGAGAAACTGACAAGTAGTTGCTGAAATAAAAGCCTAAAACCTGAACCCCTTACCCAACCTTCCCTTATTCATTCACCAGGCTTTTGCCCATTGATTCTCAGAGACTCTTCAGCTCAGTGATCTTATTCACCTTCAAATATTCTTGGTATTGCCTGGGCTGGACTACATGTTCCCCCACACACTGTTTAGGAAGATTATTTAATTATACAAGATCATTAAGTTAGTAACTCAGGAACTGAACCAAAGGTTTGTCTCAACTCCTAGTCCCATGCTTTTCTACTCTGTCATGTTCTTTCTTATGTTATAGGACACCTATAACAACTAAATTCAATGCTTAAAAAGACAAGTAATTTTACTTCTTTAGACATTTTTATATTGCCTCCCGGATAGTATTGCTACTCACCTGCTCCTTCCCTTCCAGACCTCTTTTCACTTGTTCTTCAATAAATTTGGCAGTTTTTTCTTCATCATCAAGGTCTTGCTTCTTCTTTTTCTCTAATTCTAGTTGCCGACGAATAGTCTCTGGGTCCCGATCTATGTACTGAATATACCAGCCTTTTGGTGTCTCATCCACTTTGCACAAGCCTTAAAAAAAAGAAAAGAAAAAAAAAAAACAGGCAGCATAAATCTGTACATAATCAAAGCAAAATATAAATATAAATGTGTTCTCTGTGTATTTACTCATTCATTCAAATATAGTAATAAAACACAAATTCCTGAAGCACATGAGCTTTTCATGTTCATACTTACAAGAAATTCAGATACAGTGGAATATTTTATCTCTTTAAACAGAAAAAGATTACATTGAGATAACATAATTAAATAGGAAAAAACACATGAAAAAGTATTATTCTGCATAGAATTATTCAAACACATCTAAGTATTTAATATTCAAGGAACACATGATTCTCTGTTAACTTAAAATGGAAAATAGTAATACACTGAATAAGTAATATATTGACAAGGAATTTCACTCTTCTCAAAGTCACATCCTATGAACATCAGACATGGGAAAAAATAATCAAAGTTAAAAAAATCACCTTATCACAGGTATGATGTTTTCTAAAGTAAAATTCATATGGAGGAAGGGATGGAAGAGATTGCTAGTAACTCTTAACCTAAATGTGAGTGTTGTGGTTTGGATATGAAATGTCCCCTGAAGGCTCATGTGCTGAACCAGTCCCCAGCCAGTGGCGCTATTGAAAAGCTATTGGATCATGCGGGCTCTACCTTCATCAATGGATTAATCCACTGATGGAATTCATAACCTGGTGGCACTTGTGAAAGATAGTAGAACCTAGGTGGGGCCTAGTGGGTGGACAATGTGGCATGTCCTAGAAGGGTAAATCTCACCCCAGCCCCTCTGTGCTCTTGCCTCCTGTCCATGACGGGGTAAGCCTCCTTGCTCCACCACGTGCCCCTCATGATGATGCTCTGCCTCATCACAGGCCCAGAAGCAAGGGACCAAGTGACCATGGACTGAAATCTATGAAACCATGAGCTAAAATAAATCTTTCCTCCTAAAGGACTGTCTCCAGTACTCTGTCACAGTGACAAAAAGTGGTAACCCAGAGAAGATGCTGCAGCAATAAATCTTTGCACTGTCAAAAGAATTATTCTAGATATTTGCATCCAACTATTATAAACTAAATCAATCCTGGAATAGTATGTCCTCTTCTCCAGGTGGCTGTTTAGTTTTTGGGTGGTACTAGAGTTTGAACTCAGGTCTTCACACTTGCAAGGCAGGTGCTCCACTGCTTTAGTCATGCCTCCAGCCCTCTTCTCCAGTTTCTTAATTGCTCTTATGTATCCTCTCTTTCATGAATTTAGAAATCGACAATCTTTTCTAACCCATCAATGAAGACACATGACAACTATTCAACTAATCTTTACCTTCTCTGCCCAGCCACTTAGTAAAATCAGTCAGAGTCTCCCACTGAGTGGCATTCATATGGATGTGCTCTCGGTGGCTGATATACTCATTGTAGACAATGTTGTTGTGGACTCTTTTAGTGCCTAAGAACAAAATACGACACTCTTGATTCTGAGAAGATTATATGATTGTAAAGTTATTATTTGCACAATACTGAAGGTGTTTACCAAAGCGTCTCCTGAGAAGTTCTAGAAAGTCATTTCGGAATTCCCTAGTGAAGAAAGAAAGGAAAGTATTAAGGTACTTTCTACAAATATGGAACACTATCTTCCTGAAATTTAAGCATCATACATTTTTATGTCCAAATGATATATGAAACACCTATATCACTATCTGCTATGAATCTTTAAAACTAAACAAGGAAATAACCCCAAATGATTACAGCTTTTTTGAAGGGGAGGGAGGTACTAAGGCTTAAATTCAGGGCCTTGCATTAGTTAGGAAGATACTCTACCACTTAAGCCTTTTTTGCTTTAGGTTATTTTTCAGATAGACTCTCACACTTTTTGCCTGGAACAGTCTCTGACCTCAATTATCCTCCCTATGCCTCCCACATAGCAGAGATTATAAACATATGCTAACTTTTTGCCTGGGCTGGTCTCGAATTGCTATCCTCCTATCTCAGCCTCAGTATTATAGCTTTTAAGGATTATAGTTAAAAATCGGTTTGAAGTTGAAACATTTTCTTAGTGAAGCAGCCATACCAAATTTACCAAGTTATCTTTGGAGACGATTCTTCACAAGGTCCCTTAGTGCAACTGAATGTTGCATAATACCCCATTCTATATATGACAACAGAACTGTCTTATTGCACATGAAGTTGGCACTTTATGTGTCACTTGAAAGTGGGTATTGTATTTATGAAGTGCTACATAAACGTGAGCAAAACAGAAATGTTAACACTCAAGATTAAAATTCAGCAGAACAAATCATAATAGAAGTTAAATTAGAAAAAGAAATACAACAAAACTCATACAAAGATTTGAGGGTCATGACAGAGGTGATGTTAACGTGAACAGTTACATGTACATGGTACCTACATAGGTAAAGAGGAAGAGAAGGTCATTCCCACTAGCATACAGCCGTATATTGAGGCACCATAGATTTAAGAAATAATGTTCAACCTTCTTACCGCAGATAAAAAGGAAGACAAGTAGAAGCAGAATAGAAAAAGAAGGAGAAGATATGACTGTGAAATAAGGTTCAGGCTAATTTTTCAAGTACCTTCCATATCATGCTAACTAGATCTAGTTTTATGCAGGCAATGGGAAATCACAACATAATTTAGTTTGGAAATTAATTTGTTAAAATCTGTAATTTAGAAAGATAATCATGGCAAAGAGTAGAGAACAATAATTGTGAAATTATTTTCCCCAAACCAACAGCATCACAGTCCCCTGGGGGCTTGATGGAATGTAAAATCTCTAGCTCCATCTCAGGCCCACGGCATCAGTAGTTGGGTGAGCAGTCTTCTATTCTACCTCCAGCTGGTTCTGTGCACACAGGGGTTTGTGAACCTCTGGCATAAAACTTGCACAGAAGGGGCTGGAGCTATGGTTGGGAAACCATAAGGAAGACACTGAAATGCCTCAGGTGAGAAAAACGGAGAACTAACACTAGGGCAGTGAGAATGGAAAGGCATACGTTTCAAGAGTGGTTTTTACAGTAGAATGACGAGGGGATTCCAAGAGGAATTAAGATTTACAGCTTAGAAGTCACATAACTATCAGTTAACACAGAACAAGAGGCAGGTTTGGTGGGGGAATACTGAAATCAATTTTAGAAATACTGACTCTGAGATAGCCTTCAAAAATACATATTAGACTTGTCAAGGAAAAAAATATTTGTTACTCAAAACAGATGTCTGGAATCAACATCATGACTTAAACATCCAAATATAAAAATAACATAAAAGAATAATGTGACTCCTGGAGACTACGTGGAGTGGGATGAAAAGAAGTCAAAAAGGTACCTTGAATAATGTTTCTGCATTGGGGAAGCTGAGAGAGGAAGAGGAAGCAGAAAGGGAATAGAAGTAGGAAAATCATGAAAGAACATAAAGCAGAGAAGTGTTTCAGTAAAAAGTCACTGGAGAAAGACCAAAGAAGAAGCAGATGGAAAAGGACACAAGCAACTGAAGGGCAGAAGTCAGCCTGCAGTGTTTAGGTGGTCAGAGGAGTCAATGGGAGATGGAAAGGACGGCGGTGGAGTACAGATGCTCTTGCCAGAATGGTCTTTCTCAAAGTGTGGCACGTGTGTCCTGGGATATTCCAGATTGTTTTAGGTGGAAAGACAATTTTTGCCTTTCTCGCTTGTTATTTGCACTGATAGTGTAGAAGCAATTGAGGGTAAGCCTGTCAGCAGCTTAACACACAAGGCAAAGTAGTGGGCAGTAATGTAGATTTGAACTAGTAGTCAATGTTATTCTTCAATGTTGTGTGCTCACAGTAAAAACAAAGGCTAGTTTCATCTAGAATGTCCTTGACGGAGCAGTAAAACCTACTGATTGCAATAAATTTCAGCCCTGAGGAAGGCATCTAATTCCATGATGAAACAGAATTATAAACAAGCTGTTGCTGTGACTGCTGCTGCTGCCCAACAGTTGTCTTGAGACAAAATAGTTGAACTATCTTTTTCATGGACACACTCTACTTGAAAGAACAACAGATGCACAAACTACCATCATTCCAAATTGGGTGTCTGGTGTATGTTTTTCCAAAACTGTTAGCCTGTCACATCAAGGAAAAGAATAGACAGTATCTGAGGCAATGATAAAATCTGAGCTTTCAAGTAACAATTCGAATTTTGGCAAACCAGCCCTGACCACTGTGAACTTGACATGCTTCCCAATACTTGCAAATGTTCTGAGGATAGTAGTACTGATATTAATGAATATGAGCTGATGATATTGTATGATAAAATGTGTCACCATTTGAAAGATTTGTTTAACTCAGTGTACCAATATTTTCCAAATGACTAACATACATTACAAAATCATGCATGGGTACAAGATCCACTCAAAAGATAAGACCAATGGATTTTAATTGTAACACTATAAAAAGTTCATTGATCTGGCTTTAGATTCCACATTACAAGTAATCTTTAAAAAACTGCCACACATAAAGTACTGGATACTTTTCTAAGCACTTTGAAAGTATTAACTCACTTAACCTTATAAACCCTGTGAAGGATCAACAATACTTGGAAGAGGTGCTATTTTTGTTGTTGTTGTGGCATTGGGGCTTGAATTCAGGACATACACCTTAAGCCACTCCACCAGCCCTTTATTGTGAAGGGTTTTTTTAGTGTAGGGTCTCGCAAACTAGTTGCCTGGGCTGGCTAAGAACCTTGATACTCCTGATTTCTCCCCCTGAGTAGCTAGGATTATAGGCATGAGACACCAGTGCCTGGTGAGGTACTATTTTTGATGCCATCTTACATTTGAGGAGACTAAAGCAGAGGAAAACTTAAGTATTTTATCTGCGGTGCCCTTCACAGCACCTAAGTAGGGAAGATTGTGAAGTAAGGAAGCTGACAATATAGTCTATGTCCTCAGTCATGACTGTGTTAGAATGAAGATAGTTTCATAGTTTTGTATGTTTGAAGTAGTAGGAAAGAAAGATAATCAGTTGTGAGAAAAAACTTCTATAACAACTTAATAAGACAAAAGCTGAGCAGAAAGAATAACAGATCTCCAATATATAAAATATTAAGCACCTATTAAATGTCCAACTGAATAAAGCTTGAGAAAACAATGTTTTTTAGTTAACTTACTCTGAAAAATAATCCATAAACTGTTGAGGATTTTCTGAAGCCAGCAATAGTTGTCTCTGATGAGATTCAGACATACAATGACACTTAAATCCATTCTATAAAAAAATGCAAAGGTAGCAGTTAAATTCTTGTTTTTTAAATAAAAACAATCCCATTGTCTTTAGTGTCATCTGCTAATAAAGGTCATCAAAACTGTATACGCTAACATAAGATGTGAAGGTAGAGGATATAAGGATGTGTATTAAAAGCTGTTGAAAAACAGGGGGTGGGAGGTAAGGGGTAAGGGAGAGTATTGGAAGGGGTTAAATGGACTGAAGTAAAGAATACCCACAGTGGGCATACATTGAGACACCCTTTAAACATCAACTTAAATATTAATAACGAAAACAGGACTATAAAATAGGTATAGTGTGGGGGAGTACTAGTGAAGGAAGGAGATTAAGGTGATGGTATATGGTAACTAGACTTCATAGACCTATATGAACCAGAACAAAGAAACCTCTTGCAATTGCTTTAAGTGGGGCGGAGAGGGGGTTGAGGGGGAGAGATGATGGGGGTGATGTAAATCATGTACAATATAAGTCTAATTGGAATTGTCACTACAAATCCCACCCCCCATATAACAAATATGTGCTAATAAAAAATTATTTTAAAAAAACCCTGTATGCATAGTAAGGTCTCAACAATAGGGCTCATCAAAACAGTATGAACAGATGTTTTTGAACTCCCAGCAGATGACACTCAAAACATATATACATATATATATGCACACATATATACTAAATTTATATATATATTATGTTTTACATACTTGCATATATATAGGATTTTTAATGACTTTTCATTTTATTGATCATTTTTAGTTGGAGACACTAATCCAACCCAGTTGTTTTCTTGACTTTGTTTTAGAATGGATCTCTTCTGCATCATCTAGTACAAGGCTGTATCAAAACAATGATACAGCCCACTATCTGCATAATCACTACCTGCGTCTGAGATCTGTGTTGTAGGTATCTGAGTCAATGTCCTGGATGGATGACACCATCACCTCTAATTTTTGGCCCTAGCTATGGTACTCATGGTGGAGTCTCACGAAGACTACACTGACGAGCATGCTGCCTCAGAAGGCAACTTACGGGATTCAGTAGTTAAATTTTGGTTTAGGTCATCAAAATGGACCCGAAAAATCTGCTGTTTAATGACAGATTGTTTTTAATAGATAAATCTAATCACTAGCTACAATCACCCTACAGCTTTTTTTTTTTTTTTTACTTTTTATGGAGGTGAGTTTCACCAACTTTCTAATCAAAGAACAATCCCTTAGATCAAAGAGACTGAAAAATAATGCTATAAAAACCAGACATTAATAACAAACATTACTGGTCATAATAACAGAAGAGTGCCTCCATTCTTTGGACTCAGTTTAAACAATTCTTATTGAGCAGCTACTTTATAGAGTGGTATACAAGTACTTGGAGGAATAAAATAAAGCCAAATAGCTCGTAGTGAGTTTCCACTGCACAAACTATCTTCACTCACTTTCTTCTATTTCTACCTCACTCTCCAAAATCCATTGTGGCCTATTACATAAACCTGTTAAACATATTACATCCATACTTTTATAAGATGATTGTAAAAAACATATACGTTTTGACATACTGCCAATCTCTTCTACTTAAAGTTGATGCTTATTCTTCACTAGTTGGTAGCAGAAAAGAAAAATGTATCTCTTCCATATCCCCTGTCTCAGTGAACAGCACTGTCTTATACTCAATCACTCAAGCGGGAATTCAGAAGCACCCCAGATTCTTCTCCTTTTATGCTCAATTTATCCTTGAGTCTGTTCAGCCTTCTTAATAACTCATATCCAGTTGCTCTGCTCAATCCCATTGCACTGTTCAGATCTCAGCACTCAGTTTTGCTTAGAGTAGTTCCCTAATCTTTAGTCACCTAGGAACTACTTAACACCATTTTTTGCCTCATGATAAACTACCTGTATGAATCACAGTTATTTAAATTTAACTTTAAAAAATTAGGGGCTAGAGGAGTGGCTCAAGTGATAGAGTGCCTGCCTAGCAAGCTCAAGGCCCTGAGTTCAAGCTCCAGTCCCGCAAAAAAAGAGGCGAGGGTATGGTTATGTAAGCCTATAATCCCAGCTACTTGGGAGGCTGAGGCAGGAAGATGTCAAGTGTTCAAGGCCAGCCCAGGCAACTTTTGAGACCTATCATTTTCCCTCAGTTAAAAAAAAAAAAAGTCAAAGTGAAAACAAAATAATGCTATTCAATTTTAGAAACTGAAAGTGGACAGGGCTGGGGAGAAACAGAAATATCCAGGATTGGACCCCAATTTCCCAATATTGTTAAGTAGAAGGCAGAGAAGGGAACATGTAAAGGCCAGCTTTCCCTCTCCCCCAGCCCTCCTCATAGGGAAGGGCAATGGAGGGACCTGCAGGCAAACAGGCCCAGAATCACATGAACCTTACTCTGAAAACTGGAAAATAATGAAAAGAATTATCACTTACCCTTTTTCCAGAGGATCTGCATTTCAAGAGAACAAAACAGCCCTAGCTGATGAGCAAAAGCTGGATTTTACAAAAGTATGGAACCTATTGAAGCCTTTAGATCCAAGTACCAGTTGACAGAACTTTAACAGAGGAAGATGGCAAAAGACAATCAGAAGACAATTCAACATAGTGGGCAGGCCACAGGACAACTGCTTGCCCTAGTCTCTGCAACAAGTCAATGTCAAGGAAAAAATGGGTGAAGTGATTTTATTCTAAATTTAGAATTTTCAGAGTTAGATTTAGCCCTAGTCACTGTTCACAATTCTTCCATGGGGCTCCACGATTCACTTCATTAAGGAGGGAAAGTTTAAACTCCGTAAAACGGCATACAAAGCTTTTCAAGGTCTGCCGGACTCTGACACTTTACATACAATCCGCTCATTTAAAACTCAACAAGAATCTGTACAAGCAGATACAATTATTATTCACAATTTACCCATAAGAGACGTTATGTAACTTGCCCAAGACCTTCTCACTATTAAGTGGCACAATTTTGACAGTTTAACTCCAGGTAAATCCGTAATTGTAACCACAGTACTATTCTGGGGCTGGCACATTGTAAGCGCTCAATAAATGCTTGTTAGAGGAATGGCGTGGAAGAACTTTTTTCTTTTTCACCAGATGCCAAGGAGGTGTGACTCCTAGTCACCCTATTTCTGTTATGACTCAAGTGAGAGATGATTATTATTGGTATTACTCGGGCGCTCCACTCTGCACTCACTCTATAGGCTCCTAGAAGAGCTGCAAAACCTTTTGATTTTATTTTAGGGTAGGAAGATGGGGAGGAAAGAGATGTCAAAGACCACTGGTGCCCGGCTCGGACCGCAGACTGCAGAAAAGGACAGCTCTACTGAGCTGAGTAGATGACTAGCCCGGTGCGGATCCCAGAAGCCTCACGATCTGGAAACGCGAGTCGTGCGTCCTCATCTGCGTTAGGAACTTAAACCTGGATTTCCAGCAGAGCCCCCCGGAGGAGATGGCGCTATCCCAGGACCACTTACCTCATCCCGGCACTGCTTCTGGCACATCTGACAATACCAGCGCAGCTTCTGAAGTCCTTTGGATTTGATCCTGTTGGCGATGGCCTTGGGAGTAAGAAAATCTGACTTCCCCATCGCGACCACAACAGCGACCACTTTCTGAAGCACAGAGTTCCGCCGACCGGAAGCGGAACTGAGTAGGCGGGACAAACCTGACAGCCGGAAAGAGGTGGGGCCTGGGAAGACTGGACTCCAACACTCGCGAGACTTCTCTCTTCCTGGCGCGAGGAGGCGAGGCTGAAAGGGCAGGCGAAAAGGGCGGGCGTGTAGAGGAGTTTCTGCGCTCGCGCAAGGAGGCCTGTCTGCCCGACCTTCAGCAAGGTTGGTACCATCAAGTTCTCTCGTGGAAGCGTAGCTCGGCTGTCGGCCTTGGCCTTACAACCACAATGATATGGCAGCTGGCGGGAGGATCGCGAGGGACGGAAGAACTCCGACAGATGGGAAGGAAGAGGGGTTGGGTGTGTAGGACTGACCCAGGGTCGCAGGGCCCAGGTAGGCCCCTGGTCCTGCAAACGCCGGGACCGCTGGGGCTGCAGGAAGAGGCTCCCGAGCGGAAAGGGCGCGTGCAGGGGCCGGAGCTGGGGTCAGAGGAGCAAGGTCACGCCACGTCCCCCGAGGCTGGAAGGGTCATCCGGGACTGAGGGATCCAGACGTTAGTCTGAGTTAATGTCCGGGAGGTCTTGATTTCCTTCTGCTTGTAAATACTTCTTGAACTTCCGCTGTGTACCAGACCTCGAGAGTCTGGAAGTCTTTAGCTGGGCCCTCACGGCGGGGAGAGAGCCTGAGAAAAAGGTTAAGGTGGAAGTTAAGTTGTGCTTTCTGTTCTTGAAGCCTTTTGAAACACTCTAATGCTGATGGAGTGACCCTTAATTAAGCTGTGATCGGTTCAATGAACACCTTGGTCAAGCACTGGACTTGAGGTCAAGTATGGAGAACAAAACCAGCGCCCTCGTGGCTGATGGTCATCTTGGTGCAGAAGGGACTTTAAAGATCTGTTGACCAGGAAGGGGCAGGCAACCAGCACTGCCTTCATTTTGCTGAAGTAACCCTGCAAGGTCATGAAATTGTCCCAAGGTCCTGAGGAGGAGGAGACAGGTGGATTTCAAGGGGCATTTGTTAACTGTTTTGCAGGTAAAGGGCGCTGTAAGTTTTGCGGGTGTTAAGCATTAATGCTCTGGGAGGAAAAATGCGTATTGGAAGGCCAGGGATTGGGCAGATAAAAATTGGTTCTTGGGTGGCGCTGTGTAGTAGGACGAAATGTTTTTGAAGCTAGACATTCTGTAAGAATTTCAGACACAGTGCTAAGGGGATGATAGCTAAAGGCTATGTTCTAGCAATTCCCTGGTTTTACAGTACAGAAAATTTCTGAGGAGCTGCAGCACTAAACTAGGTTTTATATCCTAATTTATATGAAGGAATTTTAAAGCATGCATTGAAATAAATGGTTCTTTCATTAAACAAAGAATTTAAAACAATATACAAGAGCTTCAGGGTAATCAGCAAATTAAATATGGTAAGAATCCTCTACATAAAATTTTTGGTGGATTAGCCTTGGAAGTCAGATTGTTTTCCTAATATTGAAAAAGAATAGTCATAGGAACTAATCCAACAGTGGTTGAATTCACGTTGTGTAGATTTCCCCATTTGTTAGCTACTGAGCAGATGTTTGTCAGGTGCCTGTCCTGTTCCAGTTCTTACCATGCAGGTGTTAAAATGTGGTGGTGAACAAATAGGTACTGCAAACATCAGCTCTTTATCCATCCTTCCCATCCTGAGGTGCACTAATGTCATCTGTCAGTATTTTTACACCCTCAAGTTAAATCCAAGTTGATCTTTTAAAAGTGATGTTTCTGAAAAGAAGACAAAATTTTTTACATAGAGTTGTAGAAATAGTGTAAGAAAAACACCTGTAAAATAATTTGAAAATCCTTTAATAAAGGATTGGCTTAAATAAGCTTGCAGTCTGTGACAACTACTCCTAGGAACCTAAATGGAACCTCAATCATCAGATGAAGGTTGTAGTCTTAAATCCCTTTGGAATGTTGGCTTTAATCAGTAGATTGTGAATACTCACCTGCAGGCATCAATGTTCCACGGTGGAATACATTCTATCCTGTCCCTTTTCATATAGTCCATCACTCTTGGTGCCTAATGTCTTTTCCCCTCTTCTGCCCTCTCGCTTCCCATTACAGTCACCTTTTGGATTGAGAAATTAAAATCTTTGCCTTCACAGAATCATTAAAGAGGCATGGTTCTTTTTCGATTATTGGAAGCTTTTAAAAATGCATTTTGTTATAATTTTTTTTTCTAAGGAGAAATCTGAGAAAGAGTTCCTGATTTTACTATCTTCAACTTTGAGGAAAGTAAACTTCTATTTTCTTAGTGTTCAGTACTCTCAAAATGGAACTGTTTTATGACAGGGTATCAATGGCTGTAAATCACACTGTGCACCAAAAAGAAGCAAAAGCAGGTTGTCATCTAAAGTTGACATATTCATTGGCAAATATAATCACTATGAGGCAGCAGAGTGTAGTACAGAAGATGGACTCTAAAACCAAGAAGCCTGCAGAGCTACCTAGCTGGGAGACCTAGGGCAAATTACTTAGTGCCTGAACCACTGGCCCTGTCTTTTAGGTGGAGGCTGTAATCATCACAGTTTGTGGGCTAGTTGATGATTAACAGTATTTGCAAAGAACATCGCACAGTAGGAGAAATGCTGCATGTTGAACCAATTTATCAAAAATTTTCAAAAAAATGAAAAGTTTATAAACACGTATTCCACATAAAATGTGTGAGGTTATTCTACCTGCCAAAAGAAGGGAAAAAAAGACAGAACCATGGGTGGATGTTGGAGAAAAAGTGCAAGGTGGTGTCACTGTTTGGAGTAGAGGTAGGTGATGAAGTTTTAGATGGGCATTGAACATGAGAATTAGATGTACTTACTACTTTTCCTCGAGAATGAGCCGATGCTGCTCTTTCCATGATTTTAATATTATGTGGCATTATATACTCCTTAAAAAATCTCTCAAACTGCAGTCTCTTTGATCAATTAATCAAACATTCATGACTCCTTCCTCTACTAACTTTAAGTCTTTTATCAGTGCTGTATGATCATGGTAGATACTGGTAACCCACAGTCCATTGGGTTCTCCATTTACTGTATTTGATACATGTCACATTTCTCAAATAATCTGAGAATTTCTGGGGACATGATGCAGTGATTCAGAATGTTGTCTCTGATCTTCTCAGTGCAGAATTCACTAGATCAAACTATCCTTAAGAGTTCAACCAGTGCATGGCTATTCACTGGTCAAATTGTCCTTCACAATAATGTAACACAGACAATCTTTAGAGCTAAGTGACAGCTAAATATGAAAACCCTTCATTAAATTACAGCACGTGTACAGCATAAAGAGTCACAGAAGACACTTCATACCCCTTACTTGAAATATTTAAGGGAACCAAAACATTGTCTTCATCCGAATGTGGTGTGCAAGTCAAATTCGTTCCATATGATATTCTTTAATAAGAATCTTGTGTCAGTTAAATTGTGTGTCTGCCTAAAACCATAATATCCAAATGTCAGTTATTACAGCCTGTAAGTTTAGTGTTTGTGGTGAAAAAGCCATTATACAAAAAAAAAAGCCAGAAATGGTGTTACTTTGCTGATGCTATTGCGAGAAAAGATTGTTCGTAGAGCAGTCACTGGGTCCAGTAGTCTGTACTCTGAAATAGCAGACTTTGTGAGTATTTCCCAGCTTTTTTCTTTCCCGTTAGTATGACCATTCTTACTACCAAACCTAATATTATACCAATAATCTTCTTCCTCTTCTTTATTTTTCTTTCTTTATGAACAATACTGTCAATATTAAGCTATGTAAGTTATTGACTAATAATAGTTCTATTGATGACATTCTTTTCATTTGTGGTAAGTTTTGGGTTTGTTTTTTTTTTTTATTTTACCCATTCTTATAGGTGTGTGGTAGTGTCTCATTGTTTTAATTTTCAACTCCCTAAAGCATGTCAAAAAAAAAAGGTTAGTTGACTGTGTTTATACAGATCTGTTTCTGGCCACATCTGTCTGCTGATCTGCTTGTTCGTTTTTCAGCAGTGCCATAACAAGCTTTTTTTTTTTTTTTTTTGAGATAGCATTTTGCTATGTAGCTCAGGCTGGTCTTAAAGTCTCGGTTTTTCTGGCTCCCAAGTGCTGGCATTACAGGTGTGCGCCTCTGTGTCTGGCTCGTGCCATTCTATCTTGATCATTGTAACTTTATATTGTCTTGAAGTCAGATAGTGTTGGTCCTCCAGTTTTTTTTCTTCCTAGTTATTGTTTGGCCACCTTAGATCTTTTGCCTTTCCATGTAAACTTTAAAATCAGTTTCTTCACATCCACAAAGTAACTTGCTAAGATTTTGACTGGAATTGTGTTGACTCTAAATATCAAGCTGGAAGGAATTGATCTTTGCAACATGTCTTTCTATACATGACTATGGAATTGTTCTATTTATTTAGATCTTTGGTTTCTTTCTTCAATATTTTGTGGTTTTCCTCAGGTAGATCTTGTATTCATACCTAAGTCTCTTTGTTTAGTGCTTTTTTATTATAAAATAAAAACTTTTTAAATGTACAATTCTGTAGTCTTTAGTTTCAAACTCTAATTATTGATAGCTAGTATATTTGCTCCTTTTCTGCAGGTTCTATATCTGCAGATTCAAGCAACTACAGAGCAAAATATTTGGAAAAAAACATTCTGTACTGAGCATGTGCAGACTTTTCCCCCCATTATTCTCTAAACAGTACATTGTAACAAATATTTGAATTACTATAACTAATTCAGAAGTGACATACATATATATAATGCTTTTTTTTATATATTCATGGCAAGTATTCCTTCTGCTTCTAATTCTAGCTGCCATTGTTAGGTTGTTTTGTTTGTTTGGCTTGGTGTTAGTTTTTTAACATCTCAATGCTCAAAACCTCTTTGTTTCCCACTGGATATATTGTACCTAACCCTCCTTTTCAAAATTCACTATCACCATGGAGTTCATCCCCATCCAGTTTTTCTGTATTGGTTATGACAGCACCATCCACTCAGGTCATTGAATTAGAAGTCTTTGTT